GAAAAGAGCTATTATTATTATTATTATTATTATTATTATTATTATTTTTATTCATATCCGCTCTGAAATCGTAGCATAGACCCAGATAGACATACTACAATGGGAGGCAAATGTTGATGATGGCTTGTTGACCTCGACCCAAAGGTCAAAGGTTGTTTCTTTGCAGTCCCCCAGTGCGGAACGCTAGGGGACTGCACAGTCCTTGAGAAGATCTATGCAGCGATAGGGGACTGCACAGTCCTCGAGTAGATCTATGCAGCGATAGGGGACAGCACAGTCCCCCAGTGGGGAGTCCAAGGGGACTGAACAGTCCCCAAACAACTTCCCTGGGAAGTGGGCTTCCGAACCTCCGACAGGGATAAGAGTAGAAAGACCGAGATACTCGATGAAAATGCCCCCAACTTGGAAATAGAAATTGGGTCTCCTGCGTACGACAAGGAAGTGCCTAATAGCTACACCATAGACGGTAGTACGGTGTTGCGTGACAGGTTGAAATGTTTTCTGTAATACCTGTTTGTTTGTTTATTCATTTATTTGTTTGTTTGTTTGTTTGTTTGTTTGTCGGTCTGTTTGTCTGGTTGTTCTTGTTCTTGTTGTTTTGTTTGTTTGTTAGGGGGGGGTTGAGGAGTGGGGTCGGGTTTGTTTATCTCCTCCTTTTTCGTGGCCTCATTCTATTCCTCGCACTCTGTTTGTCTCTCTCTCTCTTCTCTCTTTTTTATCTCATTTTTATTATACATCTTTAGTATCTCTCTCTCTCTCTCTCTCTCTCTCTCTCTCTCTCTCTCTCACACACACACACACACACACACACACACACACACACATACACATACAAACACTCACACCTCTCTGTCTTTCTGCTGTTTCTATATATCTATTGCTGTGGGGAGGGCGGAGTTCTATTTATTAGTTGCATAATATGCACGCCTGACAACTGGTACACTTATTCCCATTCAGATCAGGTTGGCCGGAAGGATAGACGCAGCCTATCTCCTAAATAATTCATTACCTGAACTGTGTCGATGTGGGTATAAAGCAAGTGCAGTGTAATAAAACAAGTTATTTAAAACCCGCATAATTTTCATAATATCTGATTGTAATCTTTGATACGTACAGTAATTTTGCATCATGTTCCTGTATCATGTAATATAATTAGCCAAGATTGATTTCGAACACGAAAAAAAAAACGTTTATAATAATTACAATGCTTTACACTCGCATTTATTAGCATACTAATTAGGAAGTGTGCTGCTTCGACTCCTCCCTGTGTGTGGGCTATGTTGTATGGTACTTACATTCCTCCTGAAAAGAGGGCGAGTGGTGGGAGGATGCCGCCAATATAATAATATGTCCTACTTC